AAAATGTGCCTTAAGATATTGCAAGATGATACCACAAAATATTACAAGATACTTTAAGATACTAAAAGATACTACAAGATACTCTAGGATATTCAAATATGTTATATATAAGATACTCTAGGATACTAGAACATACTACATGATACTAGAAGATATTATAAGATACTTTAAGATACTATATAACACACTGCAAAACAATATAAGATATATATTTTAAGATGTGTATAGTTTTTGGTTATTTGATCTTGTGATTTGGTTTCGAATGGGAAAGTGAACTTGTGAAGTCCGGATCCTTGAAGCTGAAGATAGGACTGAAGCAAGTGAAGCAACGACGCGGCCAATTTGTACCTCCCCAAGGTCTAGAGTTGTTATTCATGAATTCGCATGTATATATATATGCATATTATATACGATATATATATATATATATCGTATATATATATAGTTTCTGATTTCCAAAGCCTGGCATCGTGATCCATCCTGGGTCCATTCTAATCATCGATCCTATTGATCTGCCTAAAATAGCAGTTTCATTTCCGAATTGTGTTTGATTCTAGATCCACCACAGTTAGTTACATGCGTTTTTTAAACGTCGTTCATCTACATTGGGGTGACCCTCCCAAATAGACATCAATACCCGCGTTTCTTCGAGTCTGGTGCAACTGTACGCCCCAAAAATAATGGTCCAGTCATTGAGCAGCCAGCCGCACTGACTCAGGTCCGATATTTTGGAGGTCCTCGGGTGGAACGATGCAGCAACTCAGTTGTGATTCTGCTGAATCCCCCTGCCTGGCAGAGTACAAGCGGTAAACCACAGGGTGAGTGGGCCAAGAGCTTCATTTGAGCTATGTGCATGGAGGAATTTTTAATCGCCTCCTCCTATTACTAAAAGTCCCCCAAATACTAAAAACTAGGGTCCATCTCAAATTTTGGAAAATTTCAGATTGGCCAATTTGACTTTTAATTGATCCCCTTTAGAAAACAATTTAAAAAGAAAGCTATCGTTTGTGGGTTTTGCCCCCTAATAATAAAAACTAGTTCACCCCGGGGTGTTTATTATTAGGGTCCGTCCAATTTATTTTAGTTTTTTATATTGGGGCGGCTTTTATTTTCTTATTAGGGCCCGCTTCGAAAACCAATTTTGGCAATATTTTCATTGCGTTATATAAGGAAATTTAATTCATTTTGAGATCGGAAAACAAAATTTTTAATTATTAAGGGTTTAATTTTATTAATAGGGTCCGCTTCGAAATCCAATTTTTGGCCATATTTTTTTTATGGCGTTGTGTGAGGTTTTTTGATTGATTTTGAGATCGGAAAAACTAGTTTTTATTATTCAGGGTTTATTTTCATTAATAGGGTCCGCTTCGAAATTCAATTTTTGGCAATATTTTCATGGCGTTATATAAGGAAATTTAATTGATTTTGAAATCGAACAAACTAGTCTTTATTATTAAGGTTTTAATTTTATTAATAGGGTCCGCTTCGAAATCCAATTTTTGGCAATATTTTCATTGCGTTATATAAGGAATTTTAACTGATTTTGAGATCAGAAAAAATAGTTTTTTATTATTAAGGGTGTAATTTTACTAATAGGGTTCCCTAATAATAAATACCTCCCTAATACTAAAAACTACCTGAGGTGTTATTATTATTTGGGGGGGTTTAGGATTAGGAGGAAGGGATTACATCCAATCGGTTGCCGTTGAGAAATTAACCCCTTATCCTAGCACCCAAGGTTGCCAGCTGCCATAGATCTTCCATGAATTCCGAAAGTCAGCTTGTGAGGCAGTGCAGGTGCCGCCGATGCAGCCCGTGCAGCCGCTGCAGCCCGTGCAGCCGCTGCAGCCCGTGCAGCCGCTGCAGCCAGAGCAGCCGGTGCAGCCTGTGCGGCCCGTGCAGCCAGTGCAGCCAGTGCAGCCACTGCAGCCACTGCAGCCACAGCAACCAATGCAGCCGGTGCCTGAGCCGGAACCGGAGCAGCCTGTGCCGCAGCCGGAGTTTGAGAGCTCGGAGCTGGCATCTTGGCAGCTTACCGTGCGGGTGGTGAGCGCAACCACACAGCGGCCTATTCCAGGTGCCAAGAAACAGCTGTGGGAAGATGGGTAATGGCATGTTAGGCTGGTTAGTAGCAGGGATTCAAAAGCCAATATGTATGTATGTCTGTCTGTATGTATGTATGTATGTAATGTATGTATGTATGTAATGTATGTATGTATGTATGTAATGTATGTATGTATGTAATGTATGTATGTAATGTATGTATGTAATGTATGTATGTATGTAATGTATGTATGTATGTAATGTATGTATGCATGTATGCATGTATGCATGTATGCATGTATGCATGTATGTAATGCATGTATGCATGTATGCATGTATGCATGTATGCATGTATGCATGTATGCATGTATGCATGTATGCATGTATGCATGTATGCATGTATGCATGTTTGCATGTATGCATGTATGCATGTATGCATGTATGCATGTATGCATGT